CACCAACACCGATTATATTCTCTGCTAATCGAGCGCTGAATCTGAAGGTTAGAGGATGTTTCGGAGCGTGTGAATCGCTACAAGACTCCATTCACGTCTCTGCTAATGAAACCCGCACACATACGAGCTGCTGTGGTTTGATTCCCTTCCAAAGTTGTTTCATATCAAAGGCCCTTGACAAGCGACACGGCACGACTTCTTTCCAATGTTTGTCTTTCCTTTGGATCAGAACGCGCGTCCCTCGAGCCGAATGGAGGGAACTAATGGCTTAATTTAAAACGCAGTAATTTTTACGACATCAGGCGTGCTCGCAGGACTCTCTGACACACCTTTGGCTTCATACGTCCACACATAAATAATTCCACAAGCAGCAGATGCTTTCCTGAACAGAGCCGGGCTTTCAGCTCGCAGACGCTGGATTTACAGCCGGGTGTTTCCCTCTGTCCGTTACCCAATCACCGATACATAAATACTCTCCAATAGGACAATAAAAACTCCAGAAAGCTTCATTTCACTGTTTCGATGACCTGCACTGACACATTGTTATTTGGGACATAAACTTACTAAGTTTCAAAAAGCGGCTTGGATAAATAAAAGAGACCAAGTATTCTTTACTAATCTAACAAACTGATTCATTACTAATTATTTGAGCATCTGAATTATTTGAGCGGCATGAAAACAAACCTGACGATGAACACTTTCTCCAGCACGAGTTGAGATGTTCTTCAGAGCTTCTTGTTTCTCTAAATGGCCAGATATCACTAATTAGTCGCCTAAAAATAATACGTCAGAACGTTACTTTGTTGTTTATTCCCCAGTTCAAATAAAAGAATTCTGTATTTTCAGTATAGATAGAATGATAGAACAATAGAGTGAGAGACAGACGGATGAACAGAACTTTAGATGGATGGATGGATGGAACGATGGATGGATGGATGGATGGATGGAGCGATGGATGGATGGAGCGATGGAATTAATGGATGGATGATGGATGGAACGATGGATGGATGGAACGATGGATGGAACGATGGATGGATGGATGGATGGATGGATGGATGGATGGATGGATGGATGGATGGATGGATGTAATGGATGGATGATGGATGGAACGATGGATGGATGGAACGATGGATGGATGGATGGATGGATGGAGCGATGGATGGATGGATGGAATTAATGGATGGATGATGGATGGAACGATGGATGGATGGAACGATGGATGGATGGATGGATGGATGGTAGATAGAGCGATAGAACGATAGATAGAATGATGGATGGATAGAACCATAAATGGATGGATGAAGAGAGAGATGGATAGATATATGATGGATATACAGAACGACAGATGGATAGATAGATGGATGATAGAGAGATGGATATACAGAATGATAGATGGATGGACAGAATGAGAGACAGAAAGATCAATAGATAGAACGATAAAAAACAATAGAACGATAGATAGATAGATAGATAGATAGATAGATAGATAGATAGATAGATAGATAGACACTAATTAATCACCTAAAAATAATACGTCAGAACTTTTCTTTCTTTTACATTTTTCTAATTCCTAAACAGCATTTATTCCCAGGTTTTTTCTTTAATGTTCCTGTGTTTTCAGACTCTCTGGTTCCTGCTGTAGCTTCGGATCACTCACTCCTCAGTTCTGCTCTGAGTGATGGTTTATCTGAGGGACTGCAGAGGAACTGAGGGCAGCAGCTCGGCGTGTGAGGCTGGCATTTGGTCAGCAGGAGAGTGCAGAGGGGGGCTGCATGTTTTTGCAGCTGACCAGACCTCCCATTTTCACATGAAAGACCTGCGAACACACACACACACACACGGCCTCCGGACACTCTTTATGGAGCACCAACAACAATCGCTTTCTATTCCTGGAGCTTCCCAGCCAGTTCAACCAGCCCTTTATCAAGCTCAGCCTGTCACGGCACTTCCTGCGCAGACAAAAGACTTCGCCAGCTTTCTCCATACGTCCCTTTTGATGTTAAGAAAGATGTTCCCCTCAAATCATTAACGGCTAGCTGCCAAATGGCAACATCATAAACCGTCACAAGTGCATTTATCTTCGCATGCATGTCAACTTGTTTGGGTTGCATGGCAAGTTTCACGCTTTAGATGCATGCATTAACCTTGAACACACTCGTGTGCATTCAGATGCAAGCAATGAGGAAACATTAGAAGGAGAAGAGCCTTTCGCTGAGCTCTGAGGAAACTAATACGGTGTAGACGCAGGACTTCTGACAAAACAAGAGCGTAAGAGCAACACAAACCCCTCGCTTTCTAACAAGGAATCATGTGTTTTACTGCATGCTCTCATACAAGCTGGAGATTAAGGATCAGCCAAACTGCAATAAAGTCCCAAAATAATGCCCTTTAAACAAACATTAAACCAGTTTCAATGTCTAACAAGGTACGACCAATAAACGCAAAAATGCAGTTTGTTTGCTACTATTCAAGTAGACTATATCATATATGTTATGAGAGAAGTTGAAGACACTAACAAACAAATGACTTTGTGCAATAATTTATAGACTTGATCAAAAGTATACATCATGTACAGCCCAAAAATTGTGCATTTTCATGACAATCAAGCACTTTCTACTAAATAAAAAAAATAAAAAAATTCAAATTACATTAATAAGAATATGGGATGGAAATGTGTTTAAATGTCATTTAAGGAAAAAAAAAAAAGCATTTTCAATTTTTTGACAATTAAGCACTTTATCCTGCCTACTAGTTCTCATTATTGCAAAAATAAATAAATAACAATTCTAAATAAAAATAAAACAAAAATTACGTAAAGAATTATATATATGATTTTGGAAGGGAAATGTTCTTATTAAATCTGTTACATTATTCTTCATGAAAATATAAGATCAATCAATGTTTCCCACTGAAGGGATGTAATCGACTCTTTCTCCTCCGATTATAACCACTAGATGTTGTTTTAGTTGTAAAGAACTAAAACAACCAGAACCCAGAGTCACTTTACACGTCAATCGCGTATGCAGTCTGTTTGATGCGAATATGAACCACTTCTTTAAACCAGATTAACCAGAACAGAACAGATGGAAGTTCTGAGCTGAAAACTGATTTCAACACCTCATCAATAAAGCAGAGTATCAGCAGCTAACCGGATGACCACGAAAACATCATTCATTAATGAAGCTCTAAACATGAAACCTAAATAACTCTAATAATAATTAAATGGACTCAATAATTCATAATTACTGACAGAGCGAAACCTGATTAAATAGCCGCTATTCCATGTGCCTGTTCCAAAATGAACTGAATATTTAAGTAAATATTATGTAAAATTATGTCATTAAATAGTTTTACTAGTAATATTTCTAGGCCACTGTAATGATCATCATCAATGTGTCAGGTTCACAATCTACTGACGGTTTTTAAATATTAAAATGAATTTAAATAGTGTAAAATAACAATAGGCTAATGTTGTTCATATAATATAAAATAAGCGATTAATCTGATTTCATAAATTCTGTACATTCCATTTGAACATACACTCTTAAAAATAAAGGTTCTTTATTGACATCAATGGTTCCACAAAGAACCTTCACCAGCCATGGAACCTTGTCATTCCACAAAAGGTTATTAGATTATTAAAATATCGTTTTAAGAACTGTTCACTGAAAGGTTCTTGGGGGAACCAAAACTGGTTCTTCTATGGCATCACTGTGAAAACCCCCTTTTGGAAGCTTTATTTTTAAGAGTGCATGCTATATATATATATATATCGGTCATTCAAAAGCACTTATCGGTTGACCATTTCTAGCAATAATCCTAATAATAGTCTATTAATAACACAACATATGGATCTAAATGTCAAGACTGTGAATGCAAAGTCCAAGTTTTAGAATGTTGCATTGAAGCTGATGTTGATGAAGCGCTATAACGGCATATTCTGACATACCTGGAAATGTTTGAAAGCGGCAGAAATGCGCGTGATGTGCAGGCTGAGGCATCGCGACGCGCACCTCGCGCGATAAACGCTCGCGCTGAAGAACTCGTCGCCGGGTTTCCTCGCGTCAGCGCCCGCGGCGCTCCACAGCAGCCCTGTAATCCACATGAACGCGAGCATCGCGGAGCTGGTCGTCTGCAGCTGCAGCGAGAGTGAGTGTGACTGAAGAAAGACTGAAGGAGGACAGAGTATCAGCAGCTAACCGGATGACCACGAAAACATCATTCATTAATGAAGCTCTAAACATGAAACCTAAATAACTCTAATAATAATTAAATGGACTCAATAATTCATAATTACTGACAGAGCAAAACCTGATTAAATAGCCGCTATTCCATGTGCCTGTTCCAAAATGAACTGAATATTTAAGTAAATATTATGTAAAATTATGTCATTAAATAGTTTTACTAGTAATATTTCTAGGCCACTGTAATGATCATCATCAATGTGTCAGGTTCACAATCTACTGACGGTTTTTAAATATTAAAATGAATTTAAATAGTGTAAAATAACAATAGGCTAATGTTGTTCATATAATATAAAATAAGCGATTAATCTGATTTCATAAATTCTGTACATTCCATTTGAACATACACTCTTAAAAATAAAGGTTCTTTATTGACATCAATGGTTCCACAAAGAACCTTCACCAGCCATGGAACCTTGTCATTCCACAAAAGGTTATTAGATTATTAAAATATCGTTTTAAGAACTGTTCACTGAAAGGTTCTTGGGGGAACCAAAACTGGTTCTTCTATGGCATCACTGTGAAAACCCCCTTTTGGAAGCTTTATTTTTAAGAGTGCATGCTATATATATATATATATCGGTCATTCAAAAGCACTTATCGGTTGACCATTTCTAGCAATAATCCTAATAATAGTCTATTAATAACACAACATATGGATCTAAATGTCAAGACTGTGAATGCAAAGTCCAAGTTTTAGAATGTTGCATTGAAGCTGATGTTGATGAAGCGCTATAATGGCATATTCTGACATACCTGGAAATGTTTGAAAGCGGCAGAAATGCGCGTGATGTGCAGGCTGAGGCATCGCGACGCGCACCTCGCGCGATAAACGCTCGCGCTGAAGAACTCGTCGCCGGGTTTCCTCGCGTCAGCGCCCGCGGCGCTCCACAGCAGCCCTGTAATCCACATGAACGCGAGCATCGCGGAGCTGGTCGTCTGCAGCTGCAGCGAGAGTGAGTGTGACTGAAGAAAGACTGAAGGAGGACAGAAGAAAGTTTCGCGCTGCGGAGGGGCGGAGTCAACGCGCGTCATTGCGCGAGCTCTGCGCGTAGCCCCGCCCCTCCAGACGCAGGTAGAGAAACTTCAGATGCGATGATGGACGAAGTTCTGCTTCTTCATGCAATGGTCAGTTTTGTGGCATTTTGTTTCCATTAAATGTCTTCTTTAAGACTTGAAGGAAACAACTAAAATACACATTTAATTGTTTATTGCATTGCACTTTATCTGTTATTCTCCACTTCAGCAGCTCTTGCACACACCAAACTTTACAGTCGTATTCCTATCTATATTCTATATATGTGACCCTGGAGCACAAAAGCAGTGTTAAGTCGCTGGGGTATATTTGTAGCGATAGCCAACAATACATTGTATGGGTCAAAATTATTGATTTTTCTCTTTTATGCCAAAATCATCAGGATATTAAATAAAGATCATGTTCCATGAAGATATTTAGTAAATGTCCTACTGTAAATATATAAAAACTTAATGTTTGATTAGTAATATGCATTGCTAAGAACTTCATTTGGACAACTTTAAAGATGATTTTCTCAATATTTAGATTTTTTTGCACCCTCAGATTCCAGATTTTCAAATAGTTGTATCTCAGCCAAATATTGTCATATCCTAACAAACCATACATCACTGGAAAGCGCATTTATTCAGCTTTCAGATGAGGTTTTGACCCTTAATTGACCCTTATGACTGGTTTTGTGGTCCAGGGTCACACACACACACACACACACACACATACATACATATACACTGTATATATAATATATTTTTAACATTTTATTCCTAAAAACATGGTGAAAATGTGATATTTTCTGATTTATGGAGTGATAAAAAGAGAAATCCCCTCTGGAAAACCTTCAACTAATATTTCAAGAAAATCAAACAAGCATTATTAGCCAGGCTTTATACAATTATCGGATTTATGTTCTGGGAATGTATGCAAATTAGTACATATTTAATTAGATGTTGCCTCATTTGCATATTTCACCATAACATTTTAGAAAACTAAAGTTTGGTGTGTGTTGGAGCTGCTGAAGTGGAGAAAGCAGGACTTGAAGATATGTATTGCAATAGATCAAGTGCAATAAAATAAACACTTAAATATGTATTTTGCATGTCTTCTTTCCACTAGTCTGACCAGTGCATTAAAACACAATAGCTTGTAGTGATTCTAGTGGAAACTTCCCATGTGAGCTTCAAACCGTTTTACAAGCATTGCAGACATGTCTAGCATTATTTCTCCTCGCCAGCCACGAGTAGAGTAGCGTGGAAAGAATGACTCCAGCGCTTGTTAAAACAACAGAAATGCTCCCGAATCTCGCCAGCTAGAAATCGTCACGTTAAAAAGCCGCTGAAAAACTTCCCAGAAGGCTTCATAAAACATCATGACTTCACTCTCTCGAAGAAACAGCAGCGCTTGGTTTGCGTCTAATGAGTTTTTATGGGTATTCCTCCTGAACAGTGCAGGACAGAAACTGGGGCTCGTAATCGGTAGGTTTGGCCTGCGATTTCCTCCCATAAAAAAAACATTATAAAGAAAACGCTTAATGTGACTTAATGCATTAAAACAGTGTTTTTAAATGACCAAACTCAATAAACATTATTAATAAATCATACTATGTACAGACAAGCAGATATGAGCCATAATACGAACGCAACGCATTTAATTACACATTAAGTGTTTTCCTCCCATAGAAACCTGATATTAGGAAAACGCTTAACATTATTTATTAATAATGTTTATTGAGTTGTTTTAATGCATTAAGCCACGTTAAGCAGGAAAACGCTTAAAGGGATAGTTCACCCAAAAATGAAAATGTGATGTTTATCTGCTTACCCCCAGGGCATCCAAGATGTAGGTGACTTTGTTTCTTCAGTAGAACACAAACGAAGATCAGATATCTTATAACTTAAAAAAAATATATATATATATATATATGTAAATGTTAATTAGTGCATGTTCATGTAATGATGGTCCACTGAACGGCATGTTGTAGATGAATCCAAGTGCAGATTTATTATACAGAGTGAAATCCAAAAATCCAAATAAAACACAGACTTGACTACAGACATGAAACAACTCACCAAACAGAGGTTAAAACGTTCAATACACGACAAGAGACAAAGGCTACATGAGGGCTACTTATAGCAAACAATAAGGGTCACATGACATAAACCAACCAATGAGAAACAAGACATGCCTTGGACAACCAATCAGAACATGACACAATGAACAAAGGAACCAATAGCAGGAATACAAGAGGGCAAAGGAACCACATGACTAGACAGGAACCATGACTAAACTCCAAAATAAAAGACATGAAACAAACCCCAAAACCAGGCAAAGACACGAAACGATCGGTCTGTGCAAGAAACTGAACAGTATTTATATAATTTTTTACCTCTTATACACCACAATGTCCAACTTCCGGCGCGTGACGCATGTACGTGCTCTGGCATAGTAAACATAGATATATATAAGTAGATTCCCGCGGCCCATAGAAACAGTCACTAATGAGTAGTGATGTTCGGTTCTTGAACGTATCGTTCTTTTGAGCCAGTTCTCAGGAAGTATCCGGTCGAGCCGGTTCACAAATCGAACTGAATCGAACTTTAGTTCCGGGTTGATGACGCAGGAT